CAGCTTGAGTCATCCGTAATTCAAATTCAAACACTGCATTCCATATCCTTCCAAATACTCCACAATTGTTTGTATATACAAGCCAAGTAAGGCTAAATAAGAAGATCAAAATTTAAATCTTTAATAAATCAGTATGCACAATTATAATACTCAGATTCTTGCACAAGTTAAGTCATGACTGGTTCTCTAAAAATGTAGTATTTGCGTAGTATGGAGAGTTGCGTTGTTTCCCTACAAGGCTCAGCAGTGCTGGCTCCTCCAAGTGGGATACTATTATCTAGTGCTGCCAAGGCCAGCATACAAAGTTTCGTCTGTTTACCACCTGCACCGGCTAGAACTGTTTCAAGTTTCTGAAGTTCAGCACAAGCCATCTAGTGCGTGTCCTGTGTCTCATTCCTGTGTCTGATCTATGTGCTTAGAGCCACCTTTCCTGCATGAGTAGAGCCCCTCTGTATTACATAACAGTACATATCAATTTCAGGCTTTCGTAACATCAGACACCCGCCTAAACAAGTAAAACGTCCGTTTAATCTACTTAGTATCACTTGAATTGAATATCTGACACTCTGCATTGACATACAAGGCTATTGTATTCATGAGGATTGAAATATAGATTGCACACCTCCAACAAGTATTGCCCTGTTCTTCGGTTATACCCTTGTTAACAAAAAAAGGAGAACAAGAACTATAGGACTTATCAATAAAAAATGCTGCGCGTAGTACAGAACATATATACACACACTACAGTGAATGTGCACTTACATAAATTTTAAAGTGACAGTGCTATAGTAATTATATCCACAGTGCTTGTGACTACTTATGTGTAGCATAATACATCATAAAAGTCCCATATATTCCATGATGACTTATGTGACCATATTACATTAACACCACTGTATTATTGTGCAAAAAACTCTTGTGACACCCCTTGGTGCTCCTCCACCTTCTGACACAATTATGCGCTACCTTTATGTTTGACCCATAATGACAGGTCAGACTTCGCCTTTCCCTTTTACCGGGCAGGTTTTAAAAATTTAAAGTACCTATTCTTCCCACTCTTTGCCAACAACCTCCACTCCATTCTGCGCAATCATGTAAAGAAAAAATGCTAAATAGTAGTATGTTCAACACAAAAACAGCCTTTATTAAAATTGAATGCACTCACATTAAAATGTGTCCTACTGGGACACTGCAGTAGATAGACTCACTGATACAGTTATCTCCAGCATTTTTTTGTCACTCACAAAATGGCATCACGTCGACTTTTTTTGCTGCAGTTTTGCGGCTTGACGTCATCCATCCACCCTACATCTTGCGTCACAACATGTGACTTCATCAAGAGTTGCCTATTGGATGCCAAGCTGTATATTTATACTCTTTACTTGGATGTTAAATGATGTACATCTGTGCCGGCACCATTTTATTGTAGATCACATGATTTTCGAGCACCATTTTGTTGTAGTAATGATGTCTGTTACTCGGTGTATACTAACCGCAGATTGCAAGGACTATATTATATAACACAATACATTTACATACTGGTAAATATCTATTTAGAGATAACAAACATTGAGGATCCCTTGTAATACATATGGAATGTGTATACATAGCCAAAATATTAAACTATAATAGTCTAATAAGGAATCAATATATGTCCACAAAATAACGCCGTATTATTGAACTTCTAACTATATAATTTCTATATGGATAAATATACAAACATAATGTTGTTATACACTACCCAGTAATTACCCAGTACTTAATATATATTGTTACATGAACACATGGCCTCTTCTTGCATATATTGATCTATGTAGAACCTCCTCCAAATTCCTTTTTTTTTTTTTTTTTTTTTACTGCTGCGATCCAACTTCCTGATGGAGGGTGATGTAGACCCACCAGGGGTAGTGGACTGACCATTTGGAAACTCGGGCACTGCCCAAGGGCCAGGGGTCAGTAGGGGGCCCCATGAGATGCCCCTGGTACCTTTTTCATAGGCTTTTTTGAGTTTGGCCAAGGACACAGGGACCCCATGATCCCCTATTGCCCAAGGGCCCCATGAGTTGTCAGTGCGCCCCTCTAGCCACCCTTTCTTGCTCACTCCTGAGAGGAACTATGGACTGTGATTTGTATTGTGGATAGAGCAGTGCACATGACCACAAATTAATGTGCACTGCTAGTTCCTAACAAAGAGAATTGGAAGTGAATTGGAAAAGGAGATGTTCATGATCTCATGGAGGATGCAGTAAGAAACAATTCCATGAGAAATAGAGCCAGGGCCATTAACTGCTTCCGCGCCACCCTATAGCAGAAATGCTGCTACAGGGCGGCACGGGTGCGCAAAATCACTTGTGTGTGTAATGTATATGTATGTGTATGTATGTATGTATATATACAAATAAATATATGTATGTATATGTGTATATATATATATATAATATGTGATTTTGCAGTTTTGGGTAGGAACGCCATTTGAGGCCTCGGTTGTCAATCATCGGGTCCCCGCACCAAGTGATCGCCGAGTATCTACTACGGGGTAGAGACCTGTGTATAAACAACACTGATCACTCCCCTGTCAGCTCCTGCACACTGCTTTGTATGGCTCTGCATAGCACAGCCATACAAAGCAGTGTGCTTACAGTGGAAAGCACACACAGCACACTGTGAAACAGCACACAGTTAACCTTTTGATCGCCCCACATGTTAACTCTTTCCCTGCCCAGTGCCATTAGTACAGTGTCAGTGCTTTTTATTAGCACTGATCACTGTATTGGTGTCATGGGATGTCAGAATACCTGCTGCAGTCCTGCTATAAGTAGCTGATCGCCACCATTAGTAAAAAAAAAAAAAAAAAAAATGTAGTAGAATACATTTTGGCCTAAATTTATGATGAAATTTGATTTTTTAAATTTTTTTACTTGATATGTTTAATAGCAAAAAGTCAAAAAAAAGTTTTTTTTCAAAATTCTGTCTTTTTTTGTTTATAGCGCAAAAAAAAAAGAACGCACAGGCGATCAAATACCACTGAAAGAAAGCTCTATTTGTGGGGAAAAAAAAGACGTTAATTTTTATTTGGGTGCAGCGTTGCATGACCTACACAATTGTCAGTTAAAGTAATGCGCAGCACCGTATCACAAAAAATGGCCTGGTCAGGAAGGGGGGTAAATCCTCTGGAGGGCAAGTGTGATTAGTGAATGTGTATGGATTAATTTTGGGTATAAGGGGTCATTTAGGTCACCTTAACTAATTCCTAGAAAAAGTCAAGGCCCCCGTAACCTAACCTATCATCTAAACTAGGCCCTATCTCTTACTGCTGGGATGTAGTGCTGGATTGATATATAAATATTGGAGTGACACTTACTAATGCCCAGAGAGGTTTTCTTGTTAGAAGTGGACTTCGTATAGGTGTACCATATTCTGTCCCTCTCAGTTTACATAGTAGTGTGTCCTTATTCCTCCTCGTGTTCCTCAATAGGTGTGCTGTGATATATGCATTGTAGGGGTCAAAGGTCAGTTTATTTTAGACTTGCATGTCATTTGATGTTTTAGGGAATTCTTGCAGGATGAGGTAAGGCGCCAGGATAGAGATTTATACCCGTAATGCAGTCTGTCAAAACAGCCCACGTGGTTATTTGACACTTGATGTATATAGAATGGTATGTTTGAAATACAGGTGTTCCTGTTTATAATTCTTCTACTGTATTCGGCACTTGAATGAAAGGAAAAATGTCTGTTGCCCATATTAATCAGATTCTAATTTTTGTTTTCTTGATTTGATTATAAAATGTAAGCATCTGTTGCTTATTGGAAAGGCAGATACAGGGGTCTAGTTATTAATGCTTTTGACCAAGATTCACACAACTTTCAATCAAAACTAATCCATTTTCACATTAGGTTCAGTCAGAAAAATGGGCGAATCTTAGGTGAAAGTTGTATGGATCCTGAGTGAAAACATGGATAAACAGACCCTCTGTGTATTTTATGGTGATGCATTGTGTATATTAGCAATCTTTAGTGAACAAATAGATTGAAAAATGAAGATGGGTGTTTAATAATAGTTGTGCATACTGTATATGTGGCAATGTTTTATCATGGTTATGTGATAGTTTACATTTTGGGGGTTTTATTCGAGATGTGCAAAGAGAGATCACATAAACATTTGTAGGTATAACACTTATGTAAATAAAGACAGATAATAGAATACTTCGCTATAGATGCTTTTTTGCCATGTGTCAACCATCTTTGTGGTGTGGCACAATGATAACAGGTGCATGCTCGTCTTGGTTCGAGAGTAACCATTCCAAGTTTTGGCTGTGGAATATACAGGATTAGTTGGTAACATCTGACCAGCCCCCATTGAAAGCAACGTTACCTTTTAAGGACTTGGTCATTTGGTCAGTTCATAATGACATTCCTATGGTATGAAGTAAATTACGGTAACCATCCTTAAATGTCCTTGTATTACCCCTTAACCAGGCTTGAAGGCATTCGTACATATTAGTAAAACCACAATCAAGGAAATATTAATTTTCTCCATCAGGCAGGCAGTCCAACCCAAACAGGTATTTAAACTTTGGATGGTTGCTGGTTGGCTGAATCATATACCTTCCTTCTTATATACCTTGGGATTCTAGTGAGGAGCTTTTGAGTGTCCAAACAATTCCTGCCTGCTGCACCTATGACTTTGGTCTCATTCTCCAAGGTGGTGGAGCCCCCTTCCTCTACCCTGTCCCATCACAATATCAACTGCTCTAATAGTTAGGGAACTTGGATAAGAGGGTTGTGAGCACCATTTTTGGAGCAGTAAGGATTGATATTGAGTGATATTGAGTGTCTCAATTAGAAGCTATACTGTATGTGCTTAAGAAGAGTCTCTTCTAGGTGCCTGATGTTTCTTGATCATGTCAGCTGCTATAGGTTCATGTAGAATCCAGGCTTGCTTTAAGTATGTTTGGAAATAATGTAATTTAATTTAAAAGCATATGTTTTCCTTTGTTTCTGCAGACCACACCAGCTTCGTTCCAGATTCAGAAGGTGATCTTCTCTTCTTATTGGACAGCTCAGGAAGTGTCACCTATGATGAGTTTTCCAACGTCAAAGAGTTTATTGGGGACCTCTTGCACCCATTCAAATTTGGACCACAGGACGTGCAAGCTAGCGTTGTGCAGATCAGCACTGACCCCACTCTGGAATTCCCACTTAACCAGTACACGTCCAGCCAGGATGTCCAAAAGGCCATCCGGAATGTACAGCAACGGATGGGCGACACCAACACAGGCAAAGCACTGGATTATGTGAAAGAGCAGTTGTATACAGAAAAGTTTGGCTCCAGGGCTGATGTTCCCAAAGTCATGGTGTGGGTGACTGATGGATTGTCCACAGATGACATATCTCAGCCAATGCAACTTCTCAAGGACATGGGAGTTACAGTATTTATTGTTTGCACAACGGGTCGAGGGAATTTTGAGGAACTGTCTGCAGCAGCCAGTCAACCAGATGAGAAAAATACCTTAAATTTGTAGATAAGGATGACCTTGGTATCATTACAAAAGAGCTACGGGACTCTATTATTGGTATGTGGATAGATCTCACAATGAGCCATTTCAGATTTATTAAATACAAGCTGTTTATCATTCATCAAGCCTAATGGCATAGTTCCCCTTTATAGCGCCTAAATGGGGAGAAAGCTAAATTTACAGATGGTTCCAGCCAGGAAAAAAGCTAAACCTGCAAAATATTTTATATTTTTTTTTGTTATCCAATACTAAGATACACAGCCCTTTCAACCATGATGCTGTCCTGACATTTCTGTAGTGCAGTTAAGCAATGTAGCTAGGTCAACTTTTCAGCCTGTAATTGGACAGGGAATGAGCAGGAGAACAGTAGTGAGTCACCCCCTCTGTTCATTATGGTTTCTCTCCTCCTGCCAGAATGTTCCCTGCTAGCTTATATGCACTTGAAGCACTACTGATTGGTCTCCACTTCTGCCCCTGCTTCACCCACACCCACCCTGAGTGCTACTGTATCATGGAAAAGTGGCACCTATACCAAAATGCATTTAACTTTTTTTATTAAGATACCTATATTCATTAGAGCTTATTACATATCTACGTGAAATTCAATTTTAGGATGAACCACATGCATAGTTATGATTTTTTTTTTGGGTGGGGTATCACAACGATATATTATTTTGTATTTGTAACATATTTGATATAATGAGGAATGCAAAAGGAGGACCTGGAGCAAAGAAACGTTGGCTGGGATATCCAAAAATCCTAGGTGGAGAGGAGATTCAGTAAAACACTCAGATTTGTAAGGTGAAATCAAGCTGTCATACCACAGAGTATGGATCAAGTTGTGGTGTGACAGCTTGATTTCACCTTACAAAAATGTGAGTGTTTTACTGAATCTCTTTAAATGGTATATCAAATAAAACAGTGTTGCACTATGGGAGATGTGTTCTTTGTTTTTGCATGGCCCTAATGGGGTTCATATCTATTGTCTACACCATGGTTTACCTGTTTGTGGAAGAGGGATCCACGCTGTAAGCTTGTGTTTTTGGAGTCATTTATGACTGTTTATGAGTTTTTATTTCTCACATGTCACTTTATTGAATTCTTCCCACATTTGGGACTCACAGTTTTCTTGTTATTTAGTGTTTGGGATATCATTTCCCAATTGGGATTGGTTATTTTTCACTGTATAAAGGCCCTTGATTGGGACCTGTGAATCATATGCACTTTGTATCACTTTACTATCACTACTGTGGACACTGATTTATAGACTTCTTTGAGGATTCATCACTTATATATGTACATAGAGTATTTATAATACAAGTATATTTATGTTTTGTGATATTTGCACATTTTAGGTATTTAGCGCTACACCATTTTTATTCACCATTCCAGTAACACTGACAGTGCACCTGGCTGACACCTACCTACCACCTACCCACCAGCTAAATGGCCAGTTTCCCTGGGTTCCCTTCTGGCTAACCTATATTATCTGTACTTGTCCTCTTTAAACACTGCTGCCATCACCTGCTGTTATCTTGCTTCTTTCTGTGCCCTTGCTCACCCTGATCAGGAATGGTCCCCTCCCAGAGATCATCAGTTGCCCCCTGTCCTGTGCTTGCTTCTGATTCCTGCACAGCATTTCTTCCTTCCCTCCTCCTTTCCAAGTAGTCAGCCAATTATTGCAATGTCGAATGGTGTCATGCACATTTTTTTTTTGTTTACAAACATTACTTTTAGATTGTAAGCTTTAACAAGCAGAGCCCCCAGATTCCTCTTTTACCAAAATGAATTGTAACTGTAATGTCTACCTTCATTTTGTAAAGTGCTGCACAAACTGATGGCGCTATATAAATCCTGCATAATAATATTTACAGGCTGGTGGCCTGGAGAGGATTCCGAAGAAATGCCTTTTTTAAGTAAATGGCACATGTTTGAAATTTATCTTATTGCTGGGCCAATTCCAGAAAGCTCCCTGGTATGGTCATGGGCCACTGCATTTTGCAGATAATCACATTCGGTCAGTATATTTGCACTTTAGACTGATCCCTTGCACAAGCCATGTTTACTGAATGTATTTAGCTATTTGTAAGAGGTTTATTTTTATTTTTCCAAACAGGCTATTTATATTTTTTGCTGACCAGCAGCTGTGACGTGGTAAAATATTTATCTTTAGACCTGAGTAAGACGGTGACACGCCTTTGGTTACAAGATATAGCTCATATTTTTACAGCTCTGGCTGCTGTTTGCAGATCTATGACATAGCAAGTACTAGTTATTTACAGGCACTATAAAGGGTGCCGAGGGAATCTCTGCCAGCAATGAGTGAAATCCAATATAATTAGTCATTTCCCAGGCGTATGATCAACTAGGCATAGTCACTATTCCAATGACCGACCGTAGCTAAAATCATCAACAATCTGGTATGTTTCTTTAATCTGCAAATACATTGTGCTCCAGAACCCTCCATTTACTCTATAGAACCTCCAGAACCTCTCTGCTACTCTCTAAACTTCCAGAGCATTTCCTCTATTCTCTAGAACCTCCCCTCTACTCTATAGAACCTCCAGAAATGTCTCTTTACTCTCTAGACCCTGGAACATTCCCTCTATTCTCTAGCACCTCCACTATCCTCCCTTTACTCTCCATAACCTCCACTCTACTCTGTAGTACCTCCAGAACCTTCCCTCTACTCTGTAGTACCTTCAGAACCTTCCTTCTACTCTCTAGTATCTCTGGAGCCCATACCCTACTCTCTGTAACCTACAGAACCTTCCCTCTACTCTCTAGAACCCCCAGAACCATTCCTCTACTCTTTAGGACCACCGCAGCCAACCCCTACTCTGTAGAACCCCTCATTTACTACATCTACTCTCTACAACCAACAGAACATTCCCTCTATTGTCTACAGCCTACAGAACCTTCTCTCTAGTCTCTAGTTCCTTCAGAACTCTTCCTTCATTCCTTGTAATCTCCAGCACCTTCCCTCTACTCTCTATGCCCTCCAGATATCTTTTTCTGCTATCTAGTACCTTCAGAATCTTCTGTCTACTCTCTAGAACCCCCAGAACTATCTCTCTACTCTCTTCAACCCCCAGAACCATCCCCCTACTCTTTAGAAGCCCCAGTATAATTCTTCTACTCTCTAGAGCTAACATAACCTAACTTCTATTCTCTATAGCCTCCAGACCCTTCCCTTTACTCTCTGGTACCTCTAGAATCCTCCCTCTACTCTCTAGAACCCCCAGAACCTTCCTACAACATTCTTGAACAGCTAGAATCTTTTTTTTTTTTGTTTTACTCTCTTTTTGTTTTCCTAGATGTGTATATATGAATGATACAGTATGTCAGTAGCAGTATGACAGCATTTTTTTTCTCTAGCACAACCCCCCCTGCTCAAAAAGCGTTAGCTGGAGTTGTGTTTTAATTTGTCTTTTAATAAAAGCTGAAGTACAGAAAGATATAAGACTCAAACGTTCAACTCTATAATAATTAAGGCTTCCCTAGACACACCCTTCTGATCGCTGGCATTAAAAAAAGTCTAGATTTGGGCATTTAAATCATTTTAATGCAATAGGTGTAAGTACCTGATTTCCACTTAGTGTCAACCTTTTACAGTCTTTGTACAGCAAAGCTCAGAGAGTGGGAGGGAAACTCAGCACAAGGAGTTAATCATATGTGTTGCAAATGCTTATAGGAGGGGAGAGCATAGTGACAGAGAGATTAGCTCATCACTCTGCTGCTTCTCCTTCACTGTTCAGTCACAAGGTGGGGGTGGGGACCTGCAAGTGAGAGTCAAACTGCAGCAGAGAAAAACATATCTTGCCCTGCCAGAGCTGTTTAAATCCCACCTGTCAAAATCTCAAAACAGTTCTCATATTGTATATTTATCTACCTGTTTGTCTGGAATTTGTCATATAAGTTTCTTAAAACTATGTCCCGCTAAGACTACCCTGCCCACAGGGTAACAACACTGCTGTAGAATTTGACGTTGGATCAATCAGCATTGTCACTGTATTACAGGAATTAGGAAAAAATTTACTCTGATAGTATTACACAGATAATAAAAATAAGTTACGGATATGAAGAATTTCAGCAAGGAAGCCTATAGTGAATTAGCATGGTGGTTCTCCCTGGCAACCTAATTGTTTCCTGAATTAAATCCAATGGGGTTGATTTACTAAAGGTAAATATATTGTGCACTGAAAGTGCAGTTGCTGTAGATCTGAGGGGAAGCTCTGAAATGATGCAAAGCTCTGCTGATTTCTTTCATCCAATCATATGCAGCAAAAATGCTATTTTTTGTTTATTTTCCTTGCATGTTCCCCTCAGATCTAGAGCAAGTATGCTTGCTGTGCACAGATTATTTGCCTGTAGTAAATCACCCCAGTGTGTTCTCTGATTGGACAAGGGGCAGATCATGACATCATCTTTTCTTCTCTCCACTTGGTACATGCAGAAAACACCTTGGGGTTGATTTGCTAAAGGCTAATAGGCTGTGCACTCCAAGTGCACTGAAAGTGCAGTTGCTCTAGATCTGAGGGGAACATGCAAGGAAAATAAAAAAAAATAGCTTGCTTGCACATGATTGGATGAAAGAAATCAACAGAGCTTCTCTTAATTTCAGATTTTCCCCTTGAATATAAATCAATTGCACTTGCAGTGCACAGACTATTTGCCTTTAGTAAAATAAACCCCCCAGTATTCATTACAATACAAGGCAAAAATACAAATGGCAGAGGTGCCAAGTGAGCAAACTCCTGTGGTCAGTGTGCAGAAGGGAAGCTGCGTCCACAGACTCTGGAAGATCACAGTTATCACTGAATGTAGCGCTGACTATTCCTGAAGTTCAGCTTTAAAGTGCTTCTAAAAGCTTAAGGTTTTCTACCTTCATGCATTGTTTGTGTGAAGGTAAAAAAAACCTTCAGCATGCAGCAGCTCACCCCCAATACTCACCTGAGCCTGATCTCTGTCCAGCGGTGTGTACAGGAGACTTGGCTTTCCCAGTTCTCTCCCTCCTCATTGGCTGAGGCACAGCAGCGAGAGCCATTGGCTCCCGC